TGAGGATTTCACTATTTATAATTAAATTTTTTGGGTCACACGTAACAGATCCCTGAATAAGTTTATTTTAAAAAAAATTAATTGTCATTTTTAATTGAAATATTTTCAATTAATTTTTAGTTGTTTCTAAAAAATTAAAATTTTAAAAATATCCTTTTTTTTATTTTTATATTAAAGAAAAAAATTTACTCTCCATTATCTAAATGTTTTTTCTCTAATTTTTTTTTATTCGTTAAAAATTCTTTCTATTAAAAAGAAGAAAAAATATTCTTTCTCCGCATAAAATATAAATGATTTAAATTAATTTTAAATAAATGTCATTTTTAAAAAAAAAAATTAAAAGAAAAATAAATTAAAAATAAATTTTAATTTGTATTAAATAAAAATTTTATTTATGTCAAAAAAAAATGTATAATAATTGAAACAAAAAAAAAATATTTAGTTATTTAACTGGTGAGAAAAAAAAATTTTTTTATTTCGAATAAATATACCTAAATATTTACAAATTACAAAAAATATTTTTGATTCTGGGTTGTATTACTATACATATAGGTAAGTATCTCATCTTGCAAGAAAATAAGTTTTTTTTGTAATAACAAAAAAAAAAAGTTTTTTTCTTCACGTCTCATAGGAAATTAGTGGTTCAATATAAAGGCAATATAGAAAGTTTTGATGAAAGGTGACGATTAATACTTGGTGTTCAATACACCCTCGCATTTACTATATGTACGTGCGTGACAAATCTAATAATGAATTTTTCATTTTTATTTTTATTGTTACATTTATGAATTTTATTTAATTATTATTTTTATACATTTATATTAAGTAATAATATAATTAATAATATATAATAATAATAAAATATATATATATATACCTATATTAATATTATATATTAATTAATATATAATTAAGTATTAATGTTACGTCGAGTGTTATACGTTATAATTAACTGCAAAAAAGCAAAATAATTTTTCATCTTTATTAATCTACGTTCTGAGAAGAGTTGTGAAATTTTCACATTAGAAATTACCTTCAATTAATTTTCATTATTCTGACAATATTATTATTTATCATTTTAGAAGAAAATTTAAGCAAAAAAAATTTTAAACAGAATGTAATCCGTTATGCATGGTCATAAAATAATCATTAGCGTGCATGACTGGTTGCATATTTTGAGTCACTCTCACGTAATTATATTCATGAATAATAATATTATTTTAATTTGTCCCTTTTTTAAAATTATTTTTTAAATACTATTCACTCTTTTTTAATTACATTTTGCTAAATATTCCATATTCGTTTATTTATAACAATAATAATAATAATTTATACTTAATTATTTATGTTAAATTTTTTATTCATTTTATAAGTGTTATTAAAAAAATTAATTACAGTAGATTTTTTTATTTTCGCTGTAATTTTAGAGTTAATTTTTTTGTATTTTTTGTACCTATATTTGTATATTCATTTTTTTATTTTTTCTATATATTTTTTTATTATACTTACCCAGGTGCGAATTTCGGTCGGCCGCCAGAGATGGTTTGTCGGCCCATGGTCGGCCCAACTAGGGCTGCACGAGAGTCGGCCGCCATAGTTGGGCCGACCATGGTAAATATTGTCACCCAAAGGTGGCCCGACTATGGCTGCCAACGTCGGCAGCCCTAGTTGGGCTAATCATGGTTCCCATCGTTGGGCCGACTGTGAGGGATAATGGTCGGCATGACTTGGGCCAACCTTGGCTGCCATAGTTGGGCCGACCATCTGGCTTGACGGTCCGCAGCCACAGTTGGGCCGACTATGGGATCGTCCGTTGACATGACTTGTGATTTGGCAATCACAGTTGGAATATACTTTAAACAAAATGGTGATTAATGAAACATTTTCAAGAAATGATCCAGAATATGGGATCATTTTTTGATACCTGAATTGGTATCAAAGTATAACTGTCATGGCTGGCATGCATAAACCTTTATTTATGTTTATCACATAAGATTTAAGTTAATTTCACAATCATAACACTTGAAAATTTTTAATTATTTTTGTGATTCAAATAATTATCAATAATTTATTTATTATAAATGAACAAAATTTAAGCAATGCACGCTTGATAAATATTTCTAATGCGTTGTCAATTAATGCAATTAATAATTTCCTATTACACAATATCATAATCGACATATATGACATTTGTAAACAAACAGGGTTGTGAAACAAGAGCCCAAAATATATTCGTCCAAAGCAGAGTTGGGTAGGATTGAAATTCGCTTTGGACGAATATATTTTGGGCTCTTGTTTCCCAACCCTGTTTGTTTACAAATGTCATATATATGTCGATTATGATATTGTGTAATAGGAAATTATTAATTGCATTAATTGACAACGCATTAGAAATATTTATCAAGCGTGCATTACTTAAATTTTGTTCATTTATAATAAATAAATTATTAATAATTATTTGAACCACAAAAATAATTAAAAAATTTCAAGTGTTGTGATTTTGAACTTAACTTAAATCTTATGTGATAAACATAAATAAAGGTTAGTGTATTTCATTTTATTTCGAAATAAATTTTTTCTTATTTAATTGCTCGCAATTTATAAGTTTTCGCTTCTCTCTTTCTTAAAATTCATAATAAAAGTATTTTTAATATCTGAATATTCAGTGCAGTGAATAAATTAATTAATAAACTTGTCAATAAGAGCATGCCAGCCATGACAGTTATACTTTGATACCAATTCAGGTATCAAAAAATGATCCCATATTCTGGATCATTTCTTGAAAATGATCCAAATAATTGGATCAATTTGATAACGTATATCGAATCAAAACGTTGCATGAGTTGATCTTAATTCTTGTATCAATTTGATACACACAAGAAAACTGTGTGATGAATTTAGAATAATTACTAATATATGTTATTCGTATAACAAATTTTTATATTTTATTTTTTATTGGTCGGCAAAAATTTTAATGCCAAGGTCGGCCATTTTATAAAATTATTTTATTGATTAAATTAATGATTTCAATAATAAATGTATATTTTATTAACTGCGCGAACAAAAATAACGATTATGTTAAATTAGTAAAATAATTTTTAAATAAAAAATAATAATTTTCTTATAATTAAATTGCCATATAAATAATTCTAGTGATGACTGATTCGTTTATCCTGCATAAACACATACTAAAAGTGATGAATTTAAATTTAAGAAAATTGAAATTTTATGTACACTGCTCTTGAAGAGTAAAAACTTTTTTAATTAAGTTGGCATCCCAGCTTTTTTATCTTTGTTTATTCACTTTCCTTTAAAAAATGTCAAGTCAATTTTAATAGGCCAAATGAGCTTTCTTTTGATCAATTTCAATTTTTTCATTATAAAATTCTTTCTGCTTTCATTTTTTTTTTCTTTTTTTTTTACTCAACGATTTTTTCCATGTAATATTTTTCTCATCTTCAAAATTATCTAATTAAACGTAAAAAATTTTGCTAACATTAAAATTATTAAAATAAATTTTTGAGTTTTTTCTAACAATTAAATTTTATTAAATAGATTTAAAATTTTTGCTAAATCATTTACATTTTTTAAAAATAAATTTCGAATTTTTGCTAAAATAAAAATTTTTTTTAAAATAAATTTTCTGATTTTTGCTAACATTTTTTTTTTTTTAATTCTATATTTATTATTACATACATCATGTATGTTTATTTTTATTATAAATGTATTTATGTATGCATTTATTATTGTACACATTACGTATGCAGTATATGTACATTATTTACATTACAGAAGTTAATGTTGGTTTAAATTTGTTTAAGTGAAAATGAGATAAAATTAACAGATGCAGAGGAAATGACACACGGAAGTGAATTTGACTTATTTCAATCAGTCACAATTTGAATGACAATCAGTTAAAATTTAAACTGACCTAAAATTAAACTTCAATATAATTCGTTTATAAAAATTAAATGCAAAAAAATTTTTGTATTATATTAAAAAAACATGCAAAAAATTTTGAAAATTATTACTATATATATATATATAATAATAAAAAGTTATAAATAAAAAATTCGATATAGATTAATTATGTATATTAATTATATAGTTGAAATGAACACATTTTACTAATTATATCACTTAACTATTGATCATTCAAATTTAATTGAGAGTATCAGAAAACGATTTTGGTTTATTTCACACAGATAAAAATTTTCTTTAATTCTATGTGACCCATTTATATTACTGTAAAAAATGAAATAAAAATAAAACCAAAAATAAATTATATAGTTATAATTATAAATTATAAAATATAATAATAATAATAATAATAATAAAATTTATAAGATTCAATGAACTTATCACTCGGTATTTTTTATTATTACTAGAAATCAAATAATAAAAATTAGTTAGTTTTCTTTTTTTAATCACTGATTAATTAATTTGCAAACAATTTATTCAATTCGATTTAAATTTTAAAATGAAAATTTAATTTTATTCTCATATATCAAAAAGATAAAACTTTTGTAATAAAAAAAGAAAAATGATAATCGAAAATGCATCTCCATAAAAAAAATATGCACTTTATAAAAAGGTTTAAATATTGGAAATTGCAAAATCAGAAAATAAATTTTATAAGATTGAAAAATTGTAAAACAATATTCTAAGATAGTATCGCAAAAATGTACGAAATAAAAAAAGATGAAATAATAATAATAATAATAATTTTGTCCCGTGAATATTATATATAAATAAAAATAAATAATAAAATTTATAACTAAAGTATATTTTTAATAATAAATACAGATATGTATAACGATATGATTTTATACTATACACAATCTTGAAAGGAGTTATCCAAAAAAATCACAAGATATTTGCACTAAATAGATCATGTTTCGATCAAAAAAATAAATAAACTGATTGGAAACGAAAGATATTATAATCCTGAAATATGATTTATTTTTTTTTTATTATTAAAAAAAGAAAAAAAAACCCACCACCATATTAAGAAGAACGACATTAACAGGTGTCCAAAGATTTCTTGCATCTTTAATAATGACAACAATGACGAGTAAGTTGAGAAAAAATCCAAAAAATCCAATAGTAGCGAGCAATACACCTGCCACTATATATTCAGTTTTAATTGATTGTTCATCAGGCAACAAAACTTTGGGATTTGTATTGTTGCTTAAGGACATTGCTCTATTAAAGCAAAAAAAAAAATTTCTTTTAATTCTCCGAATTTTCGCGCACCTTTTTTTTTCTTTGTTTGTCTTTTTTTTCTTTCTCTTTTTGTGGTAAAAATTCTAAAGTACCACGAGTTTTTTTAAAATGTTTATATCTCACATTTGAGATGAAATTTGGAGAAAGAGGGAAACTTGTACGCGGCATTAACCGGAGCTTAAATGACGATTTTTCAATGTTGCTCTTCTCTTATATAGAGCACGTGGTAGACAACCCCTTCTGCAGCTTTTAGAGAGAGAGATATATATATATATATATATATATACAGCTTTCAAAAACAGCATGCGCAAAATCAGTTTCCTCTGTATGGGATACACCAATACCTATGCGCAATATATGTTTCACTATATAGTGTTTGAATACCTTTTACTTATATATATATAGTATATATGTACGATCTACGATTCATTGTCAATTAAACTTTGATCGTATGATAATTAAATACCATGTTTTGATGAATGCAATATTAATGAAAGCATTCAAAATTTTATGAATGTTTTTTGTCAATAATTACGAGAGTTGAAAATTTACTAATAAACATATTCAAGGGAAATATGAAATATGAGGAATTTTTAGAATAAAATAAACAAGTTGTAAATTCAGATGTTTATTACATGAACATTTTGCTTCCTCTTTACGATCAGCAAAAAAATTTGCTACCTCGTAGAGAAAGCATTAACATTAAAATAAATATATACTAATAATCGATTCGTTTCAATGCAGGGAATACAATTATTATATATATATACAGGGTGTTCCAAAAGTATGGAAACTTGCAAATATCTCGAAAAGTACGAATTTTTGTAAAAAATGTTCAAGGCAAAAGTTATTCCAAACAAAAAGATGTACATCTTTGAAACCAAAAAATTGGGCCCGGAGCCAATTCACAATCACAGGATTAGAAATTGGAAGCTAATTTTCAAATTGGGCATAGAGCCCAATGTAAGATTCCGCGGCCCAATGTGAGGCCCACAGTAAAAAAAATTAGTTGTCTTAAATAAAACCCATTAATTTTCAGTATCCAATTCGTAATCCCCATGAATTTCTGGGTTTAGACTTGTAGTAAAAATGACAAAAATATTGGGCCCAATGTCTGGGATTAGGCCCAACATTTTTGGTTAAATAAATAAAATTAAAAAATCGCATCTTTAGAGGTTTTTGGGGTCATAGGATTAGAAATTCGAAGCTAATTTTCAAATTGTACACAAAGCCCAATGCAAGATTCCGCGGCTCAATGTGAGGCCCACAGTAAAAAAATTAGTTGTTTAAATAAAACCCACTAATTTTCAGTATCCATTTCAGAATCGTTATGAAATTCTGGGTTTAGACTTGTAGTACAAAAGCCAAAAAATATTGGGCCCAATGTCTGGGATTGGGCCCAACATTTTTGGTTAAATAAATAAAATTAAAAAATCGCATCTTTAGAGGTTTTTGGGGTCACAGGATTAAAAATTCAAAGCTACTTTTCAAATTGGTCACAGAGCCTAATGTAAGATTCCGCAGCCCAATGTGAGGCCTACAGTAAAAAAATTAGTTTCCTTCCATTTCGTAATCGTTATGAAATTCTGGGCTTAGACTTGTGGTAACAAAATATTCAATTGTTAATAAATAATTAAAATATAATTTTTTTAAAAACGCATTTTAGGAATGTTTTTCATTCGGCTTCCTGCAATAGATTATGAAAAAAGATATTTAAAATTTGAAAACACAGTTTTAGGTGGCCCAGTTGGGAAATATACTGCTTAGAATTTTTCAAAGAAAATATAAATAAGATTTCTTAAATATTATTCTCATATCAGTTAGGAAACTTCAGTGGCAAGGTTCATACAAGTTTTGTCGATGTTTAAATGTCCACATGAAAAGAATATTTACACGAAACTTTGAGTAAATATTACACATAAATATTCACATGCAATGTTCAGTCAATGTTGTGTCAATATTCACCTATACTTATTATATTATTAAATGAAATTTTTATAATTAGGCGAAAATGTAATTTCAATATTGACACAACATTGACTGAACATTGCACTAAATATTTATGTGTAATATTTCCTCAACGTTTCGTGTGAATATTTTTTTCATGTGAACATTTAAACATCGACACAAACTTGTATATGAACCTTGCCACTGAAGTTTCTTAACCTCGCCATGTGAGGTTCTGTCAAGTTTCAGGGAATTTTGGGTGATGTGTGGGAATTTACATTTTGTTTTAAATAATCTCAACGAAAATCTTATAAAATACTTAAACAGAGAAAATTTTTAATATTTTCTTTTTAAAAAATACTTATTAATTATCACAAACTTCTATTTAAAAAATTTCTATCAGTCAACTGCAATATTTGAAATATGTAGGGGAATAGTGTCAGGGTTGGACACTTGGCTTTTTTTAAATAAGAACACTAGCGCCACCTATGTGCGTACGTGACGAATCTTCTATTAGTGTAACTTAACTTTTTGTGGCATTACATTTTTGGAGAATCAAAAGTAGCGTCTCCTGTGACTTCGGTGCAATCGAAGAGACAAAAAAAGTTTTGTTTGACTTGTGAATAAACCTAAAAAATGTGTAAAAAAGCAAGAATTCGGCAAGGTAAGCTTATTGAATGTATTGTGGGGTACATAATTTAAGAAGAAAAAAAGGGAAAAATCGAATCGCGACACATGTCTGGTTATGGTTAGGACAATTCGAAAATGATGCTTCTATTTAGGGTTGGACACTTTATACAGTTAGGGTTGGACACCCATATTAATTATGAATTTGACACAAGTTATAAATAAATATACAAATAAATTTTATTTTATTGATATTTCAGTGCAAAATTGTGCCAAAGATATTAGAAAAATAATACTTAAATTGTATAAATTTTGTTCATCATTTCATTGAGTTATTTGGAACAACAATGCGTTATTTTTTGTAATTTGAGTTCATTCCTTTTTTAAACCCATGAAGCTTTACAATTTGTAAACAACAAGTAAAGATAAACATGAAAAAATAAGAATAAAAAACTGTACAAATGTTATTTTACGTTTTTACCAATAATGCGTTTCGACTTTCAAAAAGTGTCCAACCCTGACTAGATTTTTTTTTAAATGTTTATAACTTTTTTAATTTTGGACCAATCAATTTACGGTCCACAGCAGAAGTGTTCCTCTTTTGTAGATCTTTCCACCCATATACCAGAATTGACTGAATTTATCTAAACAAAATATTTATAAACAAAAAACCAAAACTGTGTCCAACCCTGACTCTATTTCCCTTAAGTATAGTAATGATTGCTATACAGTCTATAGAAATTATTACTATACAGCATACGATAATGTTGCTATACCGCGTACACAGAAAAAACTTGGACTCATTTTTGTTGCAACTCATTTTCTTTTGGGTATCGAAATGAGTATGGGACAAACTTCATGTTATTCAAAATGATATTGGCTGGAATTTCAGATTTCTAAGTTGGCATCATAAGCAGAGTAATTTTGTATTTCAATTATTGTTTCTAATATTTCAACAACACCAGAAAGATTATTTTGACCAGTACGAATATTTAGAAGTTTTTAAATAAAAATTATTTATTATTATTTACGTAGATAATAATTAATTTCATAAGTTTTTAAATTTACCGCTATTATTTAAGTTGGCAGTACCGTTCCTGTTGTCAAAACACATGTTTTCATTTTTCTAACCTAAAAACATATTTCCTTTATTATTTTATTACGCGATTACAAGCAATTTTTAATCAAATATATTAAGTCTAGCGTGTTATTTACTTCTTTGTAATTATTATATTTCATGTTTTTGTGCAAAATTATTCGTTATTTCACAATATTTTTCCATTTTTCTTTTTCTCAAAATGAAACTTGCCTGTTTCATTATGATACTTTTACCTTAGAACTCGAAATGAAACAACCAGTTTCATTTTTGTTGCGAATCAAATTGAGTATAGAATCTATACTCAATTTGAATTCAGGTTTTTTCTGTGTATAGTAATGATTGTTATACAGCTTATAGTAGAAATTGCTATACAGTGTATAGTATAATAAAACTATATTTATTATCAATTTTTTAATAAAATTAAAATATATATATATATATATATGAAGTCAGAAAACATTTTCGTTAAATAGTTTTTATATAATTACAAATTAAAGATCAGCTGTTCGTCGAGACACTTGATTCTCTTTCTCCATGACGTATGCACTACTACTCTCACTGACTGAACTCATAATTTATAATACTTCATATAGGTTAAGAAAAATATTACATTATATAGTAAAATAATAATAATAATTTAACACAATAATGCTAATGATATAATAAAAATCAAATTATCTTACCAAGAACGAAAAATAATACAATAATTCATCATAAAAATTAATTTTTGTAATTCTGTAAGATCTTGCGCGCTTGTGTTTAATTTTATCAAATTGATTTATCTCCAGTTTCCTTTCCTGACGATTGATGCTATTCTACCTTCATCATTTGATCTAATTCCTTCGAATGCAATAAATTATAATTATAAGTGTTTTTAATAATTTAAGAAAAAGCACATAATACGCAATAAATAATTATTACATTATATTAATTAAATATGCAAAATGCGATAATAAATTTGCAAAACAAAGTAAAGGGCTCATAAAGTAAAAATCGGGTTATAATAAATAATGCAAGGAAGAATATGTTAGAAGAATTACGAGCAAAAATTAATTAAAATAATTTGATTAAAATTTATAATATTTAGAAGAGACGATGACAATTTTTGTAAGCAGTTATTTAAAGCAAGGTTAAAAAATTTATTTAAACAATAATTTGCAAAATCCATATATGAGATAATAAAACGAAACTATATTTGAAGTTAATTTTATTATGATATACAAATTCATGGAAAAATTAGTGTATAGTAATTATTGTTATACAGTGTTTAGCAATGATTATTATATGTTGTATCATAAAGATTGCTATATAATTATAGCAATAATAATATCTATAAAGCGTAAAGTAGAAATTGTTACAAAGTGTTTAATACCTACTGATATACAGAGTATATTAACTATTTCTATATACAGTCTATAGTATTGATTGCTATACACACACATACAGCATGACATTTTTAAAAAATGTGATTGTTTGATTCCTAATGACAAAATGATAAAGATATATGAAAAAGCAATAAATATAAATATAAAAAAAT